TCAGGGTTTAGGGTTTAGAGGATTTTCGCAGGGTTTTATACGGGTGCTGTAGGGTTTCATAAAGGCTCATGTGACGTAATGGTTCCGGGTTTGGGCGGTAGGGTTGGAGTGTAATTGGGGTTCGGTTTAATATTCAAGGGGGCTTTGAGGGCCTTGCAGTTGTTTTTGTTGCTTTTCAGAGGTTTTTGATGGGTTTACACACAGGCTTGGGTGTTTCTGTATTCTGCAGCGGCTGGCGGTTGAGGAGTGGGTATGGAGATCTTGAGTAGCTTCGATCGTGGTCGGATTGAAGAGGGGCAGGTCGGGGAGTTGCCTTTGGAGGAGATCATAAATCCCAACCCGCGAGCGGTGAATTAGCTTCCACAGTTCTAAACCCTAAACCCTGAACCTTAATCCTGAATCGAAGAGGAAAAAAAGTATATGCCCACTCCACTTTGGCTCTGCCTCAAGCCCTGCCTAAACACCCGGCTTGTTGCGATCCCTGCTTGGTAAGTAAGCCCGACCTCAGTTAAGGGTTTAGGGTTTAGGGCTTCGGGTTCCCTCTTCTCAAGACACCAGACCACTTGCGCCCAGTCCCCTGTTCGTGGAGCCTGGCGTTGCGTGCGCGAGCGGCTGGGGCTCGCCGCCGCCTCTGATCTACTATAATATAATTATAGTACTATAATATATTACAGTATACTATAATATACTATATTATACTATAATATACTACACTATACTATACTATACTATACTATACTATACTATAATATACTATAATACTATAAAAAACTATAATATACTATACCAAACTATAATATACTGTAATATACTATAGTAGACAAAAATATACTCATCTTGCCTTTGGCTTCCGAGTTCGGGGTTCGGGTTTTGGGTTTCTAGCTCTGGGGCGAGGGTCAAGGTTCGGGATAAGTGGCGTTTTGGGGTGCTTGACCAGGGTCTTGGTAGGTCAGAGAAGAATATCCACTGGGTTGTGGGGTTTCTGCGACTTAAGGCACCCTAAACCCTAAACCCTGAACCTTAAGCGGGTTCATCATAGTCCTTTCCGTTCAGCTCAGGAATTTTCTGCGTAAGATTCAACCTTAAACCCCCAAGCTTCGAGCTGGTCTCGGACGTGTCGACTCTGCTCAAGGTTTAGGGTTTAGGGTTTAGGATTTCAATCCTAAAGCCTATGCGTGAATACTCTGCCCACTTGGCGAAATTGGTCGAGGGAGATGAGCGACACCTGGATCATCATCAGCCCAAGCAGACCAAACTCAGAGTGTGGAACTCGCGAAACTGGGCCTCGCAATTGCATCCCAAATTTCCGAACTTCTCGAAGCTGGGTGCTTCCGTCAATTCGGCCACGGCCGCAGTTCCCAAAGGTTTCAAGATTTAGGTTACTGCATTCTTGTCAAAGAAGTTAGTTTCAGCAACCATAGTAAAAATGTGGCGGAACATACTGTCAGGTACCAGAGTATGGAAAGCACATGATCCATTTCCTATCATGGCATGGTAATGTAATTTGAATTCCTCGGCAAGAGCCCTGATAGCACTTTACCCGACCCGCATCGAATGGTGTAGGGACCAGTGTAAGGAGCGCACCGAAGCGAATTGGGACTTGGGATCGCGCCCTTTGCTTTTGCTCAAAGTAGCGTGCGTCCTGAGCCCGGGCTAAAGCCTACTTCGCCAACGTCCGAAGCCTTGACCCCGAAGGTCAAAACCGCTGAAAACTCCAGAAATTAACTAAGGTGCAGAAGAAATACGAGTCACAAGTGGCCATATTTACAAGTTTTTTATGTTAGGTCGTTTTCTGTTTCACAGAGCAGGTCATGTTTACCGGTAAGCCCGACAGGCTAGCCCAATCTGCGCTCAAAGACCCGACCCCTTAACCCCTTACCCCTAAGCGACAGTTCTGCATAAAGCGAGATGTAGCCCCGCCATAAGTGCAAGCCTCGGTCCTCTAACCCCTTACCTCAAACCAGAAGCTCTACTCACATGAGTTTCCATGTATTTAGATGAAAGTATACCCCCGACATTCTATTCTAAGCATTAGGGACCCTTAAACCCTAAACCCCAAACCCTAAACCCTAACGCTAAAAGTTGCTCTGAGGCCTGTCTTTTTTCAGTCGTACAGCCGAGACTCGTGAAGTCCAGAAGACCAGAAGCCATGGGGCGCCACGGCGGCATCAACATCCTCCACCAGAAGTCATGGCACGTCTGGCGTATGGACTGCGGCGCTGTAGGGTTTAAAGGGTTTAGGGTTTAGATTCTATAAACCTGAGGTTCTCAACCCTAATCCCTAAACCCTAAACCCTAAACCCTAAACCCTAAACCTCCTGGGTTTAAAGGGTTTAGGGTTTAGATTCCTTTCTTGAGGGGACCTTAAACCCCCAAGCTTCCCGAGGCTATAATAACCCTAAACCCTAAACCCTAAACTATAAACCTGAGGTTCTCCTTAGCAACATCGAGGTTTTTGGGTCTTGGGGTCTGGGTTTAGGGTTTAGGGTTTAGAGTTTAGGGCCATCGAGGTTTTTGGGTTTTGTGATCTGGGTTTAGGGTCTAGGGCCGGGGATTTGGAGGGAGTTCAGGGCTTCTCGCTTCGAAGCTCGTTCAAGTTGGAGGCTATAGGAAGCTTGTTTTTACTACGATTATTATTGCTACTATTATTTGATGATGATTATTATCATTTTGATTATTATAGTTGCTATTTTTATTGTTATCTATCTGTATATATATATATAATATACACACATTTTTTTTTTGCTTTTGGGGGTCGTAGGGTTTTAGCTTTGTGCTTCCGGCCAGGATTGACACTTGGGGCTCAGGCTTGGCTTCGGGAGCCTTCCAGCAACCCTCAGGGCCTCAGGGAGACTCCGAGACTCCAGGGTGCATGTTTAGGGCTTAGGGTTTAGGGTTTAGGGTTTAGGGTTTAGGGTTTAGGGTGCATGTCGGTTTAGGGCTTAGGGTTTAGGGCTTAGGAGGGTTTAGGGTTTAGGGTTGCAGGGTTTAGGGCTGAGGGTTTGGGGTTTAGGGCTTGTGGTTTGGGGCTTGTGGTTTCGGCGCTGTAGGCAGGGATATCAAGCCGTAGAAGCCTCTGTGAGCTCTTTTTACCAAGAAGTGATTTTGTGATTCTCCCACGTGCCGCACAGATTTCAGTCGAACCACAGAATCAAAGTCTTCTGAGCCCCAAAGCACCATGGACTCCCTAAATCCTAAACCCTAAACCTCTTAGACCCTAAGTCAGCTCCTCCTTGACCCCTAGCATCGCTTGAGGAGTACATTCTTTTCTCAAGAGCCTCGACGAAACAGAAAAAATGGCGGCCACCTTCCTCTATCATCCCAGCCTTTATCGAGGCATGTAGAACTCTCTTCCAGGACCTTAAACAGCCCTAGACACCCCTATTGAGAATTCCGAAAATGACCGGCTTACTTACAGGAAAACGCTAAACCCGGAACCTAAACCAAAAACCCTAAACCCTAAGCCGCATCAGGACAACCGCCTGCGGGTGGAGCGCGACGAGCTGCAGCATGCGCAGCAGGAGAAGGAGCAGCAAAAAGTTGAACGCAAGCAGGCCCCTGGGTGGAGATACGGGCTTAGGGTTTAGGGCTTTGGGTTTAGGGTTTAGGGTTTAGGGTTTAGGGCTTAGGGCTTAGGGTTTACGGCGGGTCTATTGGGGAGGAACGGATTTCGTAGGGTTTATGTACCGGGGGAAGATAGAGAACTTCTTAGGGCACCTTCTAAACGAGGTTCCGTTTAAAGGGCCAGGGTATGAGGGAAAAAACGGGGTTCAGTTTTTTTTTTTGTTTTTGGCGTCTTGGAGATGACTAAAGCCCACATGATGCCGTCAACAGAATTATGTTGTGTTGTTCAATCGCCTTCGTGGGGCCATGTTAATTTGGGCATTTCCTCATTCCTGATTCTGGTTTAGAGTTCCAGTCGGGGTTTATGTCTACGACTCTTGGAGTTTAGGGGGTTAAGAGTGTGGGTTCTAGGGTTTAGGGCTGTGACACGTTGCAAGGGGCAAAGGATTGGGGGTTTATCTCGGGAGGTCATCAGTGGCACCGAGCTTAGGGTCCAAAGTCAGCCCGCTGCCAAGTAAATCTCATGTTTAGGGCTTGTTCAGGTTTTTGTTGCATATACAGGTGTGGCATATCACTGACAACAGTTCCGTAACTAAGTATGCAAGGGGTCTTTGTTCTTACAAGGGTTTTCTGCTTCTATTTGCGCAGGGTGGTGGGTCGGCCGTCATCCTGATTTGCGCATTTCTCACTAAGCAGAGAAACAGGAAAATTGGGGAACAAGTTAAAGTTGTGCGGTTCCCTTCCAGTCTCTATCATAGTCTACGGCGGATTCCTGTATTTAAGGGCCATAGGAGGTCTTCCCGCGCCGCATTGGTTTTTGTAGGGGCCTTAAACGTCAGACCAAGATATTCGGGTATGTTATGCTGTAGTTATGCAAGGCAACTAGGGGAACACACTAGGACTACTTGGTACAAGCTGCTGTTGAAGCCTTTGCCTTATGCTGCAAGAAGCCCGCACCCTGAACCCTAAACCCTAAACCCTGAACCTTAAACGCTAATCCCTAAACCCTAAACCCTAAACCCTAAACCCTGAACCTTAAACTTTAAAGCCTAAACCCTGAACTGTAAACCCTAAACCCTAGTTGTCACGGATTGTGGTTTCAGCTTAGGGTTCCCTATTGAAGGGGTGCAAGGCTCAGGGTTTCTGTCGAACAGCACCTTCCACGAGGACATCTAGACGATCTTTCATAAGGATGCCACAGGATTTTGTGTAATATAGGGGGTTCCTCATTTTGGATATAGTATAATGGGCCCCAAAACCCTGGTCTAATTATTAAGGCCCCTACATTAAGGCTTGTGGGTTTAGTGCAATATGGCACTTAGGATGTGCAATGTGCCTGCCTTCCTTACTACTCGAGTCGAAGGCCCAAGCCACCCGCCCTTTACCCTGAGCATCATAATATAGTTTAATATAGTAGACTATAGTTTAATATAGTATAAGATAGCAAAAGAGAAACCCCAAGCCTTGTGTGCCCAGACACATCTACTTACATGCACGCAGACGGAAAAGAGCAAGAACCAGCAGCCGCCACTACCCACATTCCAGACGCCAAAACCCAAAACCCTGAACCCTAAACCCGAAGAGCCCTGATAGAATGTTTATGGAACCCTTAAACCCTAAACCCTAAACCCTAAACCCTAATGTAGAAACCCCTTCTTTTCGGGGAGCCCATAACGGATTCCTGGCACCCGGACCCTGCTTGGACCACAGGAGCGGCCTCGCCATAACTTTCCGCGGGGTTTTGTGTCGTGCTTTTGTTTAGGGCGGTTTAGGGTTTAGGGTTTAGGGTAATGCCAGGTCAACCCTCAACCCGAAACCCTAAACTCCTGAAGCCAAAAACCCTTAAACCCTAAACCCTAAATCCTACAGCAACCTAAGCCCTAAACCCTAAACCCTAAACCCTAAACCCTAAACCCTAAACCCTGAACCCTAAACCCTAAACCTTACTGGTGATTTCGGATTTGCGCCCTTTCGGTCTTAGCTCGGCCCGGAGGGTTTAGGGTTTAGGGGTTTAGGGTTTAGGGTTTTTAGGGGTTTAGGGGTTTAGGGTTTAGGGTTTTTAGGGGTTTAGGGGTTTAGGATTTTTAGGGGTTTAGGGGTTTAGGGTTTTAGGGTTTAGGGGTGAAGACTCAGAGTTTCTCAGGCCTTCGACAGCAAGCTCCGCAAGCTTCGCCGGAATGCAGCCGGCGAGCCAGCAATTGAGGAGGATCGAAACTCGAGCTGGCAGACACATGGTTTAGGGTTTAGGGTTTAGGGTCCAGGGTTTAGGGTTTAGGGTTTAGGGTCTACGGTTTAGGGTTTCGGGGTCCCTTTGAAGGCTGTAAGAAAGCTAGAAAGGCCTAGGGGTTTCTACAAGGGTTCCTGCCTGCTGACGTCCTATCATACACCTAGTGAAGGAGCATGGGACTCAGTACGTTGGTCTTCTTTTTGGCGGGGTCGCTGTAGTGGTTTGTCTCGCTTAGCACCTACTCCCCCTGGTTAACGAGCCTTCTCATGTACACTTGAAAGCAAAATGGGGGTTTCCGAAAATAGGGGACTTCAATATAGTACCCTAAACAATAGGATCCTTATTATAAGGACTCCAAAATAAGGTACCCCTTATATTCGGAAACTCCCAAATCTTCCTTGGCAGTCGGAGCCTATGCCCTCTGCTCCAACTTCCGCGCCCTCTGCACCGTCTGCGCCGCCGCGTCTGCGAGAGCGCAAGGATGAAGGCCGTCGGAACTGTATCCAAAAGTCGGGTTTAGGGTTTAGGGTTTAGGGCTTAGGGTTTAGGGTTTAGGGTTTAGGGTTTAGGGTTAGGATAGGTTTATCACAAGGTTTGGGATGCAAAGATTTGAGCTTAGGTGGTAGAAGATAAGGCTTGGGATTTGACCTAGATCACGGTCGACGTTTGTCGGCCCAAGCCCTACAGGGCAAACTCTGTATCCCAACCCCCACAATCCCAAAACCCGATTAGTTGCAAGCCCCTGCAAAAAAAACAGCAACGGGCAAGGTCTGACCTAACGGGACCACGCATCGCACATTGAGACTTCAAAAGTATCTCAGAGTTCAAACCTTCGACCCGCATAAACCTACTCCCAAGCTCAATTCCACACTCCCGCTGCTCCACGAAACACTCACCTGCGCCTCTCTCGAACTTATGTTTTGGGGGACCCAGGCCACGTGCCAGACATGCCCAGGGAGAGCTTGAGCCGAAAGCCAGAAGCCCGAAAGCCCTCAGGCCCTGAAGCCTTGTATCCTGAGGTCTGGCAATAGCCCTTATTTCCTAAACCTTCAAGGCCTCGATTCTGATCCCGACACCTAGAAGCCTAAAGCTCTCGCAGTCATGCGGAGAAAGGGCTATGGCACTTAAAAAAAGCCCGAGAGCCCTAAAGCTCTATAGCCCGAAACAATTTCAACTCGACACGACGGAGCACAAGGGGCTCGACAGCGCCTTTTTTTCGGAGCTTTGCTGCCTGTAACGGTCGTCTTCTGCGTCAATGCCCGAACCCTACACCCTAACCGCACTGAGCCTTTAGTTGCAAGAGTTTCTAAACCCTGAAACCCCTACACCCTACACCCTAAACCCTGAAGCCCCTAAGCTTTTGGCTTTGCTTCAACAGTTCCCAAGCCTTCAACCCACAAACTCCCAAACCCCAAGCCCACAGACCCAAGCTTCCAAACTCTTCGACTCTTCTGGATGCTTGTAGGTTGCTTCCTAAACCCTGAACATTGAACCCTAAACCCTAAACCCCAGGCCCTAGCCCTTGGGTATGAAGGAAGGAAGCTCAAAGGTTCGAGCTCTTGAGCCCCAAACCTGGGTCCTCAGCAGGCCGCCCATGGTTTTGAGGTCAGCATCAAATCATCCCCAAACCATCAATCCCCAAAGCTGTTTCAGACCCTATGCCGTAGACCCTAAACCCTACAGTGAACCCTAAACCCTAAACCCCTAAACCCTAAACCCCTAAACCCCTAAGCCCTAAACCCTAAACCTCCAGACCCCCAAACCCGAAACCCTAAACCCTAAACCCTAAACCCTAAACCCTGCAGCCCTGGAAGCTTCAGGTGATGCCTATGGCAAGTACGGGGTGACCAAGTCCGAGCTGAAGCAGGCAGCAAGAGAAAGTGCGTACTACAGGGGGCCTTTTAATAATTAGAAGAGGGTTTTGGGGCCCATTGTACTATACTTGTAATGAGCCCCCCAAAGCCTAAATTAGGAGGAAGGCTCTTCGGCCTTAAATCCGAATCCCCAAACCTTGTATTTTCAATTGGGGTTGGGGCTTCCCGGCTCGTATCAGATCCTTACACAGCCCCTTTCGCCTCCATTCCGTCTCCTGCAGGAGTGCCCCGAAATTTCTCGAACTACCCTAGATTGGGTGCTCCTTGGTGGGCGGCATGCCTTCAAGTTTGCCTTCCAGCAGGCCATTCCTTCGACCGACGAAGAGTCGGCAGCCACCTGTGTGATTATAACTTTCTGCTATGTGCCGCGGACGAAAGCGGCAGAAATTCAAAAACGGGAGCTGGACGCCTCACTCTCGACCACCGCGTTCAGAGCTTTGGCTCTGTTCCAGCAAGTCCTGGCTGCGGCCCAAGTCCAGGACCTGTTGTCTACGCCGGCCAAAGAGGCAACGGCAGATCAGATTGCTGATTTCGTGAGCAAGAGTGGCAACGTGAAAGCCATGAGCACCAAGACGGTACAGATCATGCTGAAAATCCGAAAACGTTTTCACGAGGATGCTGTTGTGCCAGGAACCTACAGTTTTCCCTGCTGCTATCGTAAATGCTTCGGGCTCAGGTGCTTCCATAGCTAGTGTGTTTAGGGTTTGATATAAGCGACTTCACAAGGTTCCTCTACATCTTGGTGTAGGGTTTAGGGTTTAGGGGTTTAGGGTTTAGGGTTTAGGGTTTAGGGGTTAGGGTTTAACAGCCATGCCGTCCCTGTGGCATTTCTTGAGCGGATCTCTGGCAATCCTTGAGGATTTGACATGTGTGGGCTTTGTACAATGCTCCTTGCAGCCTTCGTCCCTAGGGCCTTTGGTTTAGGGTTTAGGGTTCAGGGTGCAGGGTTTAGGGTTCAGGTTTTAGGGTTTGGGGTTTAGGGTTTAAACTCCAAACTAGAGCCCAACACCTAAAACCGATTATGGGGTTTAAAGGGTTCATGGCAGGTGTGGGTGACGAGATATGGCTTCACAACACTTTCCCTTCTTTGTGAGCCATTCTTTGTCTAAATGAGCCTCGTAGAGTTGACCATGTCAGAACCAAGCTCTCCAGGGTAGGAGTCCGCATCATGATCTATATGGGCTTTGGGGCTCGTTATACTATAATTATAATAAGGACCCCCCCCTCCGCCCCCCAAAAAAAAAGAAAAATAGTATAGGTAAGTCTTACGGCCCCTCTATTACAGACTGTTGCTGAATCTGTGGTGGGGTCATTGGGTGATCAGAACCCAGCAGCCAATCGCCATAGTCCGATGCGCTTGTTTCCACCTAGTCATAGTCGCATGATATTTTTCCTTTCCCGGACCAACATAAGACAGAAACCTGAACCCAAAGACCCTAAACCCCAAATCCTCAGGCCTGCATCCTCAATGCCAAACCCCGAACCCCTAGCTCGAAACCGGCGTACAGGGGTCTCAGCAGGTGAAATACTACCCTGTAGCAGTGCCTCTTGTTATACTTTTCCGTACACTACGTAATTGTTTGATCTTAAAGACCTTTCTAATGAACTCCAAGCCCTACGCCCCACGGAGCAACCTTTATAAACCCCCTCTTAGGCCCCATGAACAAACTCATCCCGAACCCCTCAACCGCACTCATCCCGGAGACAACCCCTAAACCCCTAAACCCC